GCTTCTTCTTCCTTTTGTGTGTGAACCGTGTCCAATAACTAAACCAAACAAATGTATTTATGAAATACGATATATTTCCAACACGTTTAACTATTTATTAGTTAAGAAACCTGCATTTTCTTAATCATTAACACTAAATCGGTGTTCGAATTCCAGTTGAATCTATTACATTCACTTGCGTTCACTTACTTACGTTGGGAAAGGTTGGAATCCTCTTCTTCTCCACCCCCATCTATGGATAAATAGACTCGGTTCTATAGCCTTGGATAGTAACTGAGTTACCGTAGAAAGTAATGGAAATCTAATACGGGAAACAAATCTGCCTCGTCAATCATGTAATGAAGCATACATGATAGCCTAATCGAGTATCCTGCATGGCACATAACTGACTGAACACTAAATTATTCTAATTTATTATACAATTATGTTACAATTTGATTACACAGGCATATAATAAAATCTGGTAAAATCTGATTCACCTATTATTGATCGACATGTTAAAGTTGAACCTCTTTGAGCATGGTCAACAAAAGCACTTTTTCCACAAATGAATATACAAACAAAGATATTATGGCATAATAGTACACCTGTATATTTTTTTACGTGTCATCACGTAGCTTTTGGATAGAAAGTTAGTAAATTGATAGCTTTGGAGAGAAACATTCCCGGTGCCTTAACTCCAGAATTTGCTTTCTTTCGTGCTACTTTAAGTATGCCATTTCCAAGAGAAAATCTGAAACACTTCAGGCGTTAAAGAATTTCATTGGAGAAGAGCCAGGCACGATAACACCTGAAATATGTCAAAATATTTTTCGAGGTTTTCAGGAAAGATTGCAGTTTTACATCACTACGTGTGGTTTATCTGTTAAGAAATATTGATTTTACTTTTTGATTTAGTAATGGAAAAAAAAATCTTGATATCCGAATTTTCTTTTTTCTAGTCTGGCTTTCAGAAGTGAAAGTTCTTTTATGCATAATCTGTATGAATCCAAACATAATTTCGGATAAAAATAGATTAAACCGCGAGATAACCTTCTAACCAAAGAAAAATCATTTTCTAAAAAATACCATCTACAGAAAAGTCAATTTCCGAACAAACACCATTGTTTGGGCGACAAACCAAACCCTGACGCAGACACCTACTTCATTCAACACCCAATGGAAACAGTTGTAGTTTATACTAAAATTCTGCCCAGTGGAAAGCGCCTAATTAATCAGTCGTAACTAGCAGTTTCAACAATGTCAGTTCTTGCAGAACCTCGGCCACGATGGCATGAGATTTGGTGCTAACACAGACCCAAACAGCTCTGTCTAGTCAGTTGTACTCACAAGTTTTTTGAGAGTGCGTGATAAAGCCTGGAAGCGTTCTTCAAAGCTGCTGGAATAACCTACTTAGTTTGATAGATGTCACCCTGACAAATCGATATGGCGTGATTCCACGCAGGACTTGATGGTCAAAGAAAAAAAAAAGAAATAAAAAGGAAGGTTCTAACCAATCAGTTACTGCCGATATATTTTTTATAGATGACACTTGTTGCAAAATTATGCCTCTTTGAGATTTTTACTTATTTAAATTCGGAGACTAGAATTTAAACAAGTGTAAAGCTAAATTTTATGAATTCCTTATCTAACGACCGTCACTTGGGAAATTGTCTGTATTTGGGCAAAGGTGTTAAGATGCGAGTGCAGTACCGTCACCATTTGAACACAAGCAGTGTGAAGATAATATATCAAAATTATCTACTTCGGTAACCCAAACCATTTAGGGAGCCCAAACACACACACACACTACGTTAATAATACCCGAATATATATATATATATATATATATATATATATATATATATATATATATATATAATGATTAAGAAAATACCTGAAAATTACCATAAGTTACTTCTTTTCTTAATGAAATGAATATATATATATATATATATATATAAATGATATAAATAATTACATGAAAAATTGCCATACGTTACTTCTTTTTAATTAATGAATATGAATACACACACACACACACACACACACACACACACACACACACACACACACACACACACACACACACACACCCCTTTTTTTTCCCTTTTGTATTGGTTTGATTATTCGCAAATCAAGACACCGAAGGTTGTCCGGACGAGAATAATTTCTTATACTTATAAGATTACTACTATATATATATATATATATATATATATATATATACGTATGTGCGTGCGTGCATCTGTGTGTGGTTGTGTTTTTGTTTAGCTTTGTGTGTGCGGATGCGCGTATAAGTGTGTGTGTTTCTTTCTGAGTTTACAGTATTTTTCTGAAAGTTTTCTGAATATTAACAAACATTGAGAATTATAACAGTTGCTTAGAATATAAGACAACATGTCAGTTTCCTCCACTCTCTAAAGTCCAGTTTAGGTATTACTACATTCATGCCGTACTAATGCCTTATCACGACAAAAGGAAGGCCTAGATTAAGTTAAAAAAAATAATACAATGGATAACGTCTTGGTTTGAGGAATCGGAGAGCCAAGTTCGAATTTCAGTCGAATCCATTACATTCACTTTCGTGCTAATACCCTTGAGAAAGGTGTGAATCCTCATCTTCTGCCTCCAGCTATGGGTAAATAGCAGGACAGACTGGGTTCTATAGCCTTGGATGGCAACTGGTCTAGGAGAAGGACAACTCTGAATTCAAAACATGCGGAGGGTCGTTTGGGGCCCTTGTGGCACTTAGTGCACCAGGTCTCTGTATTCGACCCTTCAAAAAGTGTGATGGTCCTGCACGAAACCTTCACCACTATAATCAAATCTCATATGCAGTTGTCCGGCTGGCGGTTTCCTAGGAACTGATCTGCTTGAACCTCATACGTCGAATTCGACGGGAGAGTCGAGTATATATATATATATATATATATATATATATATATATATATATATATATATATATATGCGTGTATTTAGGCAGCATGTTTTCATTTAGACAAGTCTCGTTAAATAATTTAGGCACACAATTCTGTCTACTTATTTTCGATAAGATCCTTTCATATTCGTGAATAATCTTTTTTGCGGTTGTTAAAAGACATGGGGGAAAACAACGTGTTGGCGCATAATGTCATTAATAGTTTTTCATTTATCTAGCAAATACTGAACCACGGAACCGTGTTAACGCATTCCTAGTTACTCCCCATTGAACGTTGTATGTCAACCAGCCATATCACAGCCTCTGTGACTCCACAAATAAAAATTGTAATCTTCGGATGACCCCCACAAATTTTCTCCTTCACAGCCATGAACACTAAATACTTACTCGACATCTAACATTATACTATGACGATTATACTATGATGATGACATTATACTATGTCGAAAGTACTCGGAATAAATACAATATGAGCCAACACGAATATATATACATATATATATATATATATATATATATATATATATATATATATATATATATATATGCAAATGTAGATACTGATGCCAAGTCTAAGCGTCGACTATTCTGTTTCGCACGAACGCAATATTTGGGCCTCAAGAAACCGTTAAAATATATAACAGACCGTCGCCGATTGATGTTGTCCTCAATGTCCCTTTTGGTCTGTATAATTAGATACGTTATATCTCTCTAATCGAGCACTTTAAACCATGCATATATTGTAAATTAAGACCATATTTTACATACACACATGCATGCAGACATGCGCATACATACACACACATATGCATATACCGGGTGCAGCAGCAAAATTTTCCATCCCACAAAATGTTTAACAGCTAAAAAAAAACTTTAAAAGTTACTTTTTTCCAGTATTCTTTTTGTTTTCAGATAAAATAAAATAAATTTTCCGATAAAATAAAATAAATTATCATGTGTTGTAAGAATGCCCCGCTCATTCCACAAGCGATGGCGAAGTTTGCCGAAAGGATAGTTAGCCTTAGCAATCCGATGCATGATTTCATTATCTAAAGTTCCACTGTAATTGACTTTGCTACTAAGATGGGTGAAAGACTTTAAATAGTTCAGGGGTTTGTCTTCTACTTTCAATGGTCTCTCTGGAAATTTGTAGACTGGTGCTTTTTGTTTCCCACCACGCAAACATTACAACATATTTACAAATGCAAGCATTAAATGCTAGTGTATTCATAAAAAATATGTCTTACTTGTAATTTCCAAAGAGTACCACGGTACAACCGTGTGGATAAGTTTTGTTTCTGTTTTATATATATATATATATATATATATATATATATATATATATATATACTCAAAAGCGTCTGGCCGTTTTATGCTAGACACAATCGTCAGGCCTGGCGATAGAGTCTAGCATGAAACAGCCTGTCGTCTCTGAGCGTTGACTTTGCATACGCTCTATCTGATACTGAGCACTTTATCCCATAAACATAAAACACCTTAAAACACACACACACACACACACATATGTGTGTGTGTGTGTGTGTGTGTGTGTGTGTGTGTGTGTGTTGCGCTGATCATTATTACCGGTATGGAGATTGATTGACGAATCTATCCCTATCGTAGTCTAGGAAGCAACTGACTACGTGGTTGTTTTTGGTTATGTCGTTTTAGTTTGGTGTTGCTAAGAGAATTCATCACCATAATGTTCTTTGTTTTTCTTTCTTTTTGTTCTCGCTGGTTACCTGTGTTCACCTCCTTGGGAATTATTCTTAATTTAGAGTCTAATTCACTCTGGGTAATCCATGCAATATTTGACATTAAAAAACCCAACTATTCATGCCAATGGACCATACTCACCAACATTTAAAATTCATCCTGCCATAACAGAGAAGATCGTTTTTTACCTCTCTACAGTTATTTCCATAAATTTCCACATGTTGCTTCTCTGAATTTCTATTTTTCGGAAACAGTCAAAATCATTTAATTCTTCTAAATTGTAATGTCATTTTTAGTGTTAGAATTCGATGTATGCTTGTCTTTTTCGATAGTACACATTCCTAGCTTCATGTCCGTTCAAATAATGTTATTCCTTCGTACATCCCAACCTTTCAATTATGCACTCTGTTCTGTCGTTAATCATCAGCAGCAGCAGCGCTCGCAGGCCATCAGGTACGTTTCGCACTCACTAAAAGATAGCAAGTCGCACATTAGCGTAATCAATTCTTCATCCGGGATGCGCATTTTGTGATTGGCCGAACGAATATTGTTGGCAGCATTGAACCGACAATCCTCGCCACTGAGAGAACAAAGGCAGGAAAAAAAAATAGAGATTTATTAAGAGAGTTGCTTATGCTAACATCTCAATAAAAGAACATTGAAAAAATAAACATTCAAATAAAAACAAAGAGTAAATGAATTATCTTGTTATCCCAGACGCTGGAAAAAAAGTGCTGCATTATAATCAATTTTCACACAACGCGTATCAAGAGCTTTCATCTTGAGGTCAAGTGACAAGAAGTCTCCTCAAATATTATTGTGTTTTTTAATACCATGGGAATATAAAATATTTCATTCTGAATTCGAAAACGTATTGCCGATTATGTTATTATTTTTATTTATTTATTTTTATTTTATTTGTTTTGCTGGGGTACGTTGATTTTATTGCAAGTCAATACCTGTTGGGTTGTTTAATATCGACTATTGCATGAGTAACACATCAAGGATCGGGCTCACAACCTTAAGAATAACGCCCAACTTGACGAGCATCGGTAAGCAACGGTAATAACAAGCAAATAAAACAAAGAAGGTTATGAAAAAGAACTTTTTTGGTTACCTCACACTAAAACACTATAAATAATAAAAAAAAGAAAAAATGAAATAATGAAAAACAAAGAGGAAATTAATTACACTGCGAATAATAATCTTTTGAAATATCTAGGAGCACCTAGTGAGGTTCAAACTCACTACATTGCAAAAATGGTCGACAAGACTAGCCGATATTCGAGTTTCGTTTTAATAATATCTCATCTGGAATTGGTTTGATGCAAGAGTGACTTAATGGCCATGAAATAATGTTTATACTTCTTCAGTATAGTCCTTGCACAATATCAGGAGCTTCAATACGCAACAACAAGAAATTAAATTTTAAAGTTTATCGTAAAGCGATTAACAAAAACGGTCGAATTAATTTCTATTCCCATGAAAATCAAAGAATAAATTCAGGGTTTCACATAGAATTCTACCTCAGAGTCCTTAAGATCTGTAGCCCTGAATACCTAAATGAAGACGAGAAATATTTTGAGAAACCATTCATATTTCTTCACGACCCACATCATTTCATCTTCAACGCTAGAAAACAAGCTCACAAAATCCACAACGCCAAAAAACAGACACCACCAATAGCACTTCTAACAGTAACAACACAAAATTCATAATCCTACCATCAAACACTCTACTCTTACCCACCAACACTCTACTCCTACCCTCCAACACTCAAATTAGTTATCCCTATTCTAGGAACTTTACATCACTTCCAAGAAAATCGGTGATAAAATTAGGAAGAAAAATGAAATCATCACTGCCGGTGTTTATCAAAGAAATTGTTTACAATGTAAAAATGTGTACATAGGGGAGACATCACGTGATGTAAAAATCTGCATCTAGGAACGCAAAAGAGATTTGTATTTAGACAATCCTTCAATATCACTCGTATAACACAGGAAAAAGAACTTGCCATAACTTTGATTTTACTACTACCACACTAATTAAAAAAGATCATAATTCTTTAAAGAGTAAATACATTGAAGCTTTATATTACATCGCCAAACTTTACTGAAACCATTCTTAAAGAATCTACCTTATGTCTATCGTGTCCGGACAGTACGTACACAAAAATATTTTCATATAAACAGATAACTACACCTACAAATATAGTTTCTACTGAACATACACGACTGACCAACCAGAATCAGTCTTCAATGAAGATCTTCTTCCACTAGACATACACACATAGACAATTACGAATACACATTATCATCCTATGCCAACGGAGACAAATTATAATTTTTTTCGAATACATATAGATACATGACTGTTCAATGAAAATCGAACAGCAGTCTGTCAGTTAAGCGCCACAAGTGATACTTGCTAAAGTTATCATTTATGTTTTGATATATGACTGACGAGGCAGAAGATGTTTTCCGTAGGATATTGCCATATTTTTCTGCGGTAGACTGGTTGCCAAAAAAGGTTTAAGAATCCAGTAGGTCCTGCTATTTATAGCTGGTGGAGAAGCGATGGATCATACCTTTCTTAAGGGTATTTATGCGTAAGTGAATCTAACGGACTCAGCTGGGATTCGAACTCGGTTCTCCGAGTTCTCATTCCGTGCAGATGTCCATTACATCAAACAACAGACAACTGAAAATGCCAGAATTTCTATCTTTTTCTTTCTTCTTTCTGAATGTCCGACGAAGTTTTCATAAAAGCTTCCTATTTGTTCCTTATCATCATGTCGTATTCTGATCCATGGCTGTTCTACATTTGATCTTTAACTCATGAATATATAGATAGAATTAGTATTCAGAGTTATGTATGTATAGCTGCCAACTCGTATGCAAGGATACAGTCTACTAGGGAGGTTAGCCAACCCACATTGAATACGCTTGCCCAGGCTCATTTGTGTTTAATAAATACCCACAGAGTCCGCCTGTGGTTTATACTGCAACAATTCTGAGCCTACCTCCGTTACAGTTTCTAGGAAAGAGAGTGTTATCTCTCGTCATCAACAATTTTAACAAGGCCAGCATGTTCAAACCCTCGGCCATATTGGCTTGTGACTTCGTGACAGCACAGCTATTGACGGCCCCTAAGGGTTCTTTCTACCTAATTTCAGTGAAACCGATTGGGTATGATTTTCAGGCACATTCCAAATGTGCCGCACGCTGGGATGGACCTTTTCAGTCCGATGTGCTTACGGCCATCACTGAAATTGTCTACCAAGCTCTTCAGAATAACGGAGAAGCTCGTGCTCTGGCCCTAGACATCTCCAAAGCGTTTGACAGTGTTTGACATGCCGGCCTTCTTCGCAAGATCCAGGATTATGGTATTACAGGTTTGACTTAATACAATCATTTCTGTCAAACTGTGAATTGAAGGTCGTTCTCAACGGATTCTCTTCCAGCTCCTATCCCACGAACGCAGGTGTTCCGCAAGGCTCCATCCTAGGACCTACTCTGTTCCTTATCTTCATCAACGATCTTCCTGACGCCATAGATTCCCAGGTGGGCATCTACGCGGAGGACAGTACAATTTACTCCTGCCTCATAAACAAATCTTGTGTCGCTGACAAAACTAACCTAGCCGTTCGTCTCGAAAAGGACCTTCAATCGGTTGTGAACTGGGGCCGTAATTGGCTGGTTAACTTTAACGCCACCAAAACAAAACTGCTCTCTATTAATCACGAGAGAGATCCTTCCCTGTCCCCCATTAGAATGTCTGACGCTCAACTTCCCGAGACAGCCTCTCTGCGGCTGCTCGGTCTCACATTGTCTACTGACCTGAGATGGAACAAATACATTGACTCAATTGCCTCGTCCACCGCAAGGAAATTTGGCTTCCTGTGCCGCGTCAGGAAATTTTTCTTCCCGGAACTTTGCACGGAGTATTGCTACCATATATGGTCTGGAGCCCCTTCTGTTTGCCTCGGGGGTCTTGATAAGATCCAGAGAGAGATATGCAATATGATTGGCCCTAATCTGGCACCTCGTCTGCAGTCGCTATTTCATAGACGTGCTGTCGCCTCTCTCTTTTCACAAATACTTTCATGGTAATTGCTCCGATCAGCTGCTTTCGCTGGTTCAAAAACTTAGCGAATTCAAGCGCCCTACAAGGCTGGCATCCCGCTCTCACCCTTTCACTGTTGAAACTGATAAATGTAGCCGTCTCTTCTACTCCAATAGCTTCATATCTCGCACCTCTCGCCTGTGGAACTCCCTTCCCTTTTCCTGTTTCCCTGATAGCTTAAATCTCCAACTATTCAAATGTAATGTCAATCGATATTACCAGTTGCTTTGCTCTATCCACTAATCCTTCTCTTCATTCTTTCCTCTATCACTCCATTCTGCTCTCGCTCTAAATCCTCTTTAACCCATTGCGTGCTAGTGGCTTCTCGCCTTGCTAGGGGTGAAATGCTTAAAAAAAAAAACATCAGGAAGTTTCCTTCTTGATAAATCGACTATGGTGAGATTCGATTCCGAGTCTCATGGTAAGAATGTGAACGTTCTAACGAATCGGGACGTGTTCATAAATTCACAGTTACACTTAGTCATCAATACTGTAAAAAAGAAATCTCAATTTCCTAAACACAATTTAGTATGGCACAAAGCTATAACTGTGGTTATCCAGCGGGAAATCATACGAATGCATGGGAAAGCATTGCTTTCGAAATTGTCTTTCAGTGGCAATCTTCAAAATTTAGTTTGCAATCACTTTACAAATGTACGCCTCCTTTTATATTTCTATTATTCTCTTTTCAATGTATCTCATTCACATTATTCATTCTTCTTCGTTTTATTCTGTTTCTTTGTATGATCATATGTGTGTCAGTTAATATTTGCTCGTAGACTTGAAGACCTTAGGACGATAATCATGGGGGAATCTTCCTCAAACACACGAGAGGATATACCACAAGAGTTCAAAATCAATTTTTGGAAACAGAATGTCTATGTGGAACGTGTTCCTTGCTAATGGAATATGAAGGATAACTGACTCTGTGTACATGGCTTGGTGAGTTAAAACAGGTTAAACGAACGAATTTAACTGGTCAGAGTAACGTGAGAGTAGCAGCATTTCGGAGTTGTAAGGTGGAAAATAATTCATCACCCACAAGGGCGCGAAAACGCTTTATAACTCTAGCTGATTTATAAAAATATTATATTTTTGCTCTAATCTGCCGTCAAGATAGAGCAGGGCAGGAGGAGCCAGGTATCTTCCGCGATGTTTTTGAGCTTTTTTTTACTCATTTTTCTCACCTTTTTTTACTCTCTTCACAAGTTGGAATTTTCTCTGAAATTTCTTTACTTCTGACATATTTCCTCCTTTGGACCCTTGTCATCTTCAATTTTCGTCCCACATTTAAACATGCAGTTTCGTTAGGATGAAGACATGTGAGTGGTTCAAGACGCGTTATTCGATTTACACGAGAAGAATCGT